GTTTGTTCACACGACTTGCAAGAACTAATAATGAGGTCTGACATTTGAGGTTTGTACTGCCATATTTGATGTAGTCTGTCTATACTGCAAAAATGATATATATTTTCAGATATCATTTTAAATATATTTTTTCAATATATGCAAAACATGACCAAAAAAGATTGATTTTACAATATATTTCAATGAATAAATGTTCAATATATTTTAGTTATTTAAATTTCCTCATTTATATTTTTGGCCTATTTGTATATATTTTGTATACAAATACAAATATTTATTCTGTCCAAAATCATTTCGCTTTAGAAATGGACCTTGTTGACTTTCATAATTTGGACAATATCTTGTTCTGTGTTCTGCAGAAGAATGAAAATTTTACAAATTTGGAATGACACGAGGGTGAGTAAATGATGACAAAAGTAGAAGTCCAGTAGTATACATTAGAGATCATAAATAATGGACAAACTATCCCTTTAACTGATTATTTGTAGTGTACATTCACCCTGAAGGTTAAATTATGGTGTATACAGTTTATTATTGTACCCCCAGCAGGAAGCTCTTCTCTATTTTATCCGATTTTATGAAATGGTGGCTTTAGATTTGCTCAGACTAAGACTTAAAATCATGCTGCAGAAACCTGACTTTCGCTTTGCAAACAGAGGTCTTTCATAGTAAAGCCAGCCATTATGCAGTGACTGAACTTATCCTTTTTTCCCTTATCATCCTTTTACAACAAAGCTTGTGTTGCTTGTCTGATTTCCTTCTGACACTAAACTTGAATAAGAGTGTGCGAGAGAGAGAAAGGTGCCTTGGCTGGTGCCTCAGCTCTACGGAAACCAAGAAAAGCAAAGAAAAATACTTATTACAACAAGAAATACTAGGTTAAAAGTAAACCCTGGAACTGATAAATCCATAGGTCAGTCTTCCAGAGCAAAGTTAAACAGAATATGAGAACAGAGCTGTCAGTCTCTACCAGCATGCTCTCTTTTCAGCTTGTGTCATCAGCTGCAACACAGGAAGCTCAGGAATGGGAGTGTGTCAGTCAATATGTTGTTTACTTAGTCAATCTAAGTAAATCTGCTCTGAACTCATACCTGCGGGCGCAACATTGATCCACTTGACCCAGGCGGCTTCCAGGTTTAATTGAAAAAGAACAGCTGAGACCTTTATGAATTAACTGCAGAAATCAATATCTGCAGAATGCCACCCTGTAAACTCTCCTTACATGCTGACGATGCCAGAGCAGCTAGCAGGCAGGTTGTTTGCAGTGCTTAGGAGAGTAAACAGATGGTTTCCTTTGCTCTCTGCACTGTACAGGTGTACTGTACTGTTTTATGCACTCAGATTGTTAGTGAATGCGAAGGGTGTCATCTGTTCCTCTCTTTTGTTTTATGTCACGATATATTGAATGACAACAGGTGGCAAACATCCTGCTGTAATGCTTCAATATAAATCTTCTGCAGATAAAACTCTCAGTCTCTATGCTATGTGGTAAGTCTGCTGTATTTACATTGGCACGTTAAAGGAATAGTTCTCCCAAAATGAAAAAAAGCTGATAATTTACTTATTCTTAGGCCATCCAAGATGTATATGGATTGTTTTCAGCCATGTTGCTTCAGATGCAGCTTCTGTGCACATAAATGATTGATTAAGATTAATCAAAAGATCAAGTTGTTATTTTAATTCAAAATTATGAGGTAAAAAAAATTAAAATAAAGCATGCACGGATGAATCGTTCACAATGAGAACAATGACATGCATTTAGAAAATATATAGGGTCAGAGCAGTCACAGAATTCCTGGAATGTCCATTGAGTTTTTAAATATTTTACTATGTTCAGTCCAATTCCACAGATTTAATATCCGTCTCGGCCTACTTCAATTTGATGTGTATCTTTATATCTGTCACGATCTTCATATATGTGACCACAAAACCAGTCATAAGGTTCAATTTTTTGAAATTGAGATTTATACATGATCTGAAAGCTGATTAAATAAACTTTCCATTGATATATGGTTTGTTAGAATAGGGCAATATTTGAAAATCTGGAATCTGAGGGTGCACAAAATTCAAAATATTGAGAAAATTGCCTTTAAAGGTGTCCAAATTAAGTCCTTAGCAATGTATATTACTAATCAAAAATTAAGTTTTAATATATTTACGGTAGGTAATTAACAAAATATCTTCATGGAACATGATCTTTACTTAATATCCTAATGATTTTTGGCATAAAAGAAAAATCTATAATTTTGACCCATACGGTGTATTGGTGGCTATTGCTACAGATATGCCTTATATCTGTAGCATAAGTGGGACTTATGACTGCTTTTGTGGTCCAGGGTCACATATCTTTATATGTACACAGAGTATCAGTATCTCCTGTACTGCAGAAGATAAAAGGGCATGGAGTTTGCATGAAAACAACAGTAGGGACATGCCATCTGACCTGGTTGTGTACTGGTAATGACAGGAAATTGGTTGGATGTGAGTGAATGAGGGAGATGTCAAGCTTTCAGGTGAAGGGACTGTTTCTTAGAGGGTGGTTTGGAAAGCTTGTCTTTGCGTAGTGTCTGAAATGTCCTGAATGGGATAAAAAGAGCCAGTCTGTCATACAGGGCTTGTAGATGCCTCAAGACCTATTAGTCTCTGGTGAATACTGGAATGGACAGGCGCACAAAAGAGTGGAAGCCTAACTATCATTCTTACTGTGTGAATGAGACCAAAACATAGTCATCTCACAGGCACTGCATGTGATAAAGCGCTACTAGAAGAATCTCAACATTGCAACATGCTTACCTCTGATAGCGTTTCTGCCTCAAACACGTATCATTCAGCTTCAGATGAGCTTGACTCTGCAGGCCGGAGAGGTTCGATCCATTCAACTCAGAGACACGCTCAATATTCTGTAGGATCTATGATGGATCATTTGGGCTGCAAATCAATGACATGGTCAACACCTATCGATTGCAATGTTAGTTTTTTGAGTGTGCAGATTTCACTTGCGTCCCAAGTATAAAACTATGTGGAAAATAGCTTTATATTCTTTTGGAAGTCAAAATACACTCTTAAAAATAAAGGTGCTTCACGATGCCATAGAAGAACCTTTTTGTCTAAATGGTTTCATAAAGAACCTTTAACATCTGAAGAACCTTTCTGTTTGACAAAAGGTTCTTTGTGGCGAAAAAAGGTTCTTGAGATTACAAAAAGGTAATAAAGAGATGGTTCTTTAAAGAACCTTTGACTGAATGGTTCTTTGTGGAACTAAAAATGGTTCTTCTATGGCATCGCTTGAAGAACCTTTTGAAGCACCTTTATTTTTAAGAGTGTACATTGCCACTAAACCCCCCATTCAATTCAAAATTTAGCTGGTGCACAGCAGTTGTGTTTGTGGTGAAGTTCAGCACCAAGGACAGCAGATTCTCTCAGGCCTTTCTGTTGTCCGAAGTAAGTGCACCCAAAAGGAAAAAAAACACTCGCACATTTATTGATTAGGTTACACTTGCCCCACAAACAAAAGTGTTTCTAGGAGATTTAGTTTCATTGCACACTATTATAGAGGACAGTATATATTGTGAGGGGATAAATAGGAGAAAATGACATAAATTTGGGTCAAATTAGATTCATAGATGTAAAAAAAATGCTGAATTTCTGAATGGTCAAAGGTGAAAAGTTGAAAAAACTCTGGTGAGGTTCTTCAAATAAGGGTCCAGATGTAACACTTATTAAAATTAGAGTATTGTTTATGAAAAATTATTCAATAAATCAAATAACTAGATTATTGTGTTTTCAGATATTCTTGACCAGTGTTGGGGGGTAACTCATTACAAGTAACTCGAGTTACGTAATCAGAGTACTTTTTTCAAGTAACTAGTAAAGTAACGCATTACTTTTTAATTTACAAGAGAATATCTGAGTTACTTTTTCAAATAAGTAACGCAAGTTACTTTATTTTTTCCAATTTATTGACTGACAGCTCTCCTGTCCCCATGTTAAGAGAAATCAGAAGATGTTACTGTAGTTCTAAAATAAATATGAATATGCATTAATTCATCTCACTCACACAAAAAACACAGATTCAGTATTCCTCAAAATGAATAAAAATAATGCAACTCAGAATATGCAATAATTAAATGTTAAACAACACAAATATCCTTTATGTATTTAATCCCATTCTATTAACCAATGTCTTTGCTTCTGACCTTCGATGATCCAGTTCAACCGTACTAATAAGCACAAATTACTCTAGACAAACATCCGTGTGTCTTTTTTTATTGCTGAAGTGTGTTGCAATTTCTTCTTCAGCATTCTACTGTACAGACTTAAATTTACATTTCCCTTCAGCCTGTGGCTTATTCATTTCACTTTTGGTGTGGAAAGGCTTTTGTATTTGCCAAAAATAGAACTTTTTATTTTAAAAACAAACAAGCAAGCCCTGTCCAGATTTAAAAAGTAACGTAACGCATTACGTTCCATAAAAAGTAACCAAGTACCGTAATTAGTTACTTTTTTTATGGAGTAACGCAGTATTGTAATGCACTACTTTTAAAAGTAACTTTCCCCAACACTGTTCTTGACAATGCTGCAAAGCCTGCTAATTTCTAATAGCCTACACAAAACATTTAGCGATTTTCTTTTATACATAGGCCTATTGAAAACATTCACTCACATAATACGCGTTTCTTGCAGGTATTGTTGCGAAATGACATACTATACTTTCCGTTTTGAACGAGTCTCCTGGTAAGAGAGGATAACTGTAATCTTTAGAAGAAACGGCGCGTTTCTGAGGGGACTTCATCAAGTCAGCATGGATCCACTAATGTAAGCAAACAGAACACAGACATCTCGTAGACATTTCGTGTATAATATAAATGTATCAACCGCTTCAAAAAGAAACTCCAAGCTTTCTCTCAGATTTTACTACACCTTTAAATGGCGCGAGCCTCGCAGTAAGAGGAAGGCGGGGTCGCGCGGCGAGTGTGTGAAAATCTCGTGATTGTCCAACAGTATCTCTGAGCGCGCGGCTCTCTGTAACTGCAAGCGAGCACAGAACCGAGGTAAAACATCCTCACACAAGACCGTGAAAAAACGACGTTTAGCGGCGTGGACCAAACATATAGAGCCTGTTGGGAATGTAATGTGGATTATTACGCTTTGGGATATTTTTACGAAAACTGAGGTTAGTCTGTTTCTTTTTTCTTTTTGGTTACGGAATGATTGAAAGCTCGCCGGGATGTTTCAAGTTCATCACTTGCTTCGAGTATTTACACTTAACGTTAGTTGGCTTGTTTTTACATTGTAAATCACGGTTGTTGTTTTAATTTTATTTTCATTTCTGTGAACGCGGCGTGTTGCACTGAATCAAAATAAACGACATTCGCGTTGTTTGGTTGTAAAATACTAAACTATATTATCATTCAGGCCCACAACAGAAAAAACGAAAAGAGGTTTTACACACGCTGTCGAACTCTAAAAATACATTTACGAGTATTTATTCTTCAAGGATAGACGGTCGTCTTCTATACAGAGCTCAGTGTGGAAACAGTAACATATTTCTGTCAGAGTTTAGCGGTTTTCGAGACTAAATTTTAGGCACAAAAATAAATATGTACTGACTCTTTTTTTTTCTTTTTGTCAGCTGCCAGAAATATCACAGAATGTTTCGTTTATTTTCAGTAAGTTTGACAACATAGGCCTGTATTCTTGTAGTAAACACGAAAAAAGCACGCCTTTTCCTCAGTAAACATGTAACAAACAATTTCGCACTTTGCTCTCAAGATCTGTGGCTGTGAATAATGAATGAGTTCTCAGGTGTCTGTGGAGCCCATGATCAACTGCCACTCAGGATAAACAACACGCATGCCCACTGCAGGTTCCATCCTCATGAATGCACCTAGACATGGACTGGCCAAATACACAGGAACGCATATCCATGTTCTTTTTTTAGCGCGTGTGTGAAAATATATTAACACTTGCTACAAATGTATTTGGCTAAAATTAATTTTTAGGATGCACACATGCGGTGTACATAGCCTAATGCATTTTACTAGTATGATCTATTAGTGTACTACTTTATTCTGGATTTTATTAGACAAAATGTATAGGGACTTTTTAGCAGTCTTTTATTAAACATATATTTATATAAATAGTTCAAGGGTGGCTATTAACACTTTGCAGTGATTTAAGAATATTCACAAACCCTTATAAATGATTCGATATAAACATCTGTCTTATTGTCACGATAATTGAAATGTTAGAACTTTTTGCACGTTTGCACATAACATGCACATTCAGCTCTTTTTGTCTCGCTTTGAAGTGCTCAAGTGAGTACAGTGCATTATTAGAATATCTTAATTCGTTCTCATCAATGTGTAGCGGCTCAGTTAGAGCTCCTGGAATTCAATAGACTTTGGTAATAATTCAGTATAACACGCACTAGCGCGCTCACACACTCATTTTAAAGGTAGACGATTCAGGCTTATGCTTTTTAGTAGCCTACATTGAATGTTTTTGTTAAAATAATAATTGGGCTAGATACGTTGTATTTGTGTGTTAAACATTTTTGCCGAAATGTTAACACATCCACCCAGACAGTATCGTTTGTCCTGAAATTGTCGGGGTAGATAATATTTCCTGAGTGCGGCCTTGTCAAACACACACACACACACATTCATCGACTTATTTTTTTCACAGCTGACAGAAATGAAAATGAACACGTATGTCTGAGTTAAAATAATATATCATATATTTATTCGAGCGTGTTTAATTTCACCCTGTGGTGTTTTGTGACATCTTTTGTGTGAAATATGATGCAGTGTCCTCTCACCAAAATTATTTTGTCGGTCTGTTTATACATGTGCTCATTTATTTGTGAGACTGACGTGCCTTATTTTAGGTGACTGAATTGTGCATTAATAATTTGGATCAAAAGTGAGATTTCAGTGTATTCGAGCACATTTTGTGTGTATATTGTGCACCGTTTTAGACGGGTGAAACGAAGCGAAATGCTGTTTTAAAAACGAAATATTGGAGCACAAAACTATTCAAATTTAATGCTCCATATAAGCGATTTTTGCTTAAAAATATACATCTGTTTCAAATGTATTAAATCGCATTACACGTTAGCTAAAATTAAAATAAAAGGACATTTATTGTTTCCCTGTATTTTGTATCGTTTTGTTCTCACGGGTGTTGGTTATAATCTCCATTTAACCTATCAAGCCAAGACAGCTAAATGATTTGAATGCAACCAATGTATTTTTCCATAGAGATAAACGAATTAGAATAATTCACACTGATAATTCTAAAACTGAAAAATACACACACACATATATATATATATATATATATATATATATATATAGATATATATATATATATATGCACATATAAATGTATTAGATATTTAATGAACGCTATGTAAAATATAATATATATATTTTCGTTTTGTTTACCGAATATAATAAGAAACCCGTATAACACATTTCCCAATTTTGTAACGAATATCGTTCTGCCGCGTTAGATTTTTCTTTCTTTTTTTAATTCTTTAAAATCGCCTTTTTGTCTGTGTCGCATTGAAGAATATTTCCTATTGGCGTTGTGCAATGCTCAGTCTCCAAAACACTCATCGAATGTGCTCTGCCTTTCCAATACACCGCAGTGTGACGTGATCTTTCTGTCTTGATCAGAGCCCTATATAATGCACACACTCCACACCTTTACCACAGTGAAATTTGGTCATAAATCATATTCCTAATCCTCTGTTTCTGATTATGAGGGGTATTATAGTCAATCATGGCACAAGGATGGTGTGTTTTGGCAAGGTGATGTAATGCCGTAAATGACTGCTGCAGAACCACTCACAAGTCGCTGTTCCTCTGCAGTTGGTTGTTTAGGGGGTTGCTGGTGGTACCCGTGCCCACTCTGGGTCACTGGGGGGAGGCTATATGAGGCCAGGTAGGAGCCTCACGCCTCCCATTCGCCGGCTGGCAGCCCAGGAGGAGAGCACCGGACGCTGATGTCATCCATTTTGGCCCAGCTCTACCTCGCCCACTCCTCCGCTCCACCACACTGAGGCTCGACGGCAACCGTGTCACTTACGGAGCCGAGCTCGCTGAAATGGCGTGCACCTCCTCCCAAAGCCTCCATGATATCATCGGGCGCACTGGAGGACATTTTGTCGCAGCTCTTCTGGTGTAATGGCAGAGCATAATTGAGGCACCTGTGGTAAAACCCAGCTTTGTGTGTCTGATGAATGGTTGGACCTGCTGTCATTAACATGCCCCCCTTCCTCCATTACACCTCCTTCTCCTACTCGCCGTCTTTTTAAGCGGGATCCAAATGCAGGGGTTTTATTTTGTGGTGTCGTGTGCCGTTCCCAGTGGGGTGTGTCAATCACAAATCAATGAGGACAATGATGTGCTCAGTTTAGCCTTTTCACCTCTCTCCTCCTCTTTGCTACCCCTCGCCCGACAAAAAAAGAAAACGAGAAAGCACACATGCATATTTCGAGGTGTGGGAGCGAGCCAACGTGGAGTATCTGTTACAAGCACGCGGTCTCTCGCTCTTTTTCCCCTCTTCAGCTGCAGCAGGCAGAGCTCTGACGGCTCGGTTGAATCGCGTGGGCTGGAAGCACTATTGTCCTGCCGTACCTGCTGCCTACGCCTCTGGCAAGGACACGGGCAATATTAGATGTCTATTAGGTTACACCTCGCATGTTGCCATGTAATTGGAGCCTATTCATTTATGCACGTAGGGGACACATGTTAAGAGGAGCCGGAGCTGCGTTTTGCCTTCACAAAAGTCCTACTAATCTGTGCTGGTTTAAGGCCAAACGTCAGCATGGGAATCTTCTCTCATATTTGTAGAACAAAACAGGCCATTTTGTTTGTGCTTAAGGATGTGTTAAAAAAAGCCCTAATCCATAAAATAAACATTTCCGTTGCGTTTTTACTGCATCTTATGCAACATTCCTTTAAAAAAAAATAATAATAATAATAATGCACAATCATTTTAGATTATTCATTAGATTATTTAAAATTATTATTAATTATAGATCATCTTTATGCAATGTTTTTTTTTTTCAAAATGAAGGACCACACCTAAATTTTATATTTTTAAAGCAAAATATTATAGATTTTTAGACCTAGTGTTTAGATGACTATGGTGCTGGAAATGTGGGTTATGTGTCATGAGAATGTGTCGACATGCATATTATTGTTTTCATGCATTGTGCATCCTGCAGAAAGCCTTTTAATTTTCCACATCATCAGATAAACACGGACTCGCTGCTATTGAATGATAGCTGGAGCTGCCATGTGAATAATGCTGGTAATTTACACACTAGATGACCGATAACACACAAGAATCTTTTGGGTAAAATGCCTCTAAAATAGAAACTTTTAATTAGGCTTTATCAGGAGTTGCGTTTTACAAAATGATAAGAGACTTATTCAAATGCAGCTTTTCATGATAATATTTGTGAAAGTGTACTGAATTGTTTTGTTACATAATATATTTTTATGCTTTTGTGTTTTATGCATAAAAAAAAATCACACACTCGATAGACTGAGCCATTCGTGGATTCGTTTGTAATTTGATGCTTTTCTATTTTGACAGCTATTGTGTGCTAGACGGGGCAGAGTAACAGTATGGACTACATTACCCACAAGGCATCATGCAGTCTGCGCTGGTTTCCCTAAATACAGAAAGAGTCCGACCTGGAGGACCTGTCTGGATGATTAAAGTCTGAGGAGATTCCAGAAGAAAACAGCACCTCAGCAGACACGCAACACCTCATCTGCTCGTCTCCTCAAGTCGATCCATTCCAGGAAACGTGGAAGAAGTACTTTTATTGTCGCCTGACAGAGATTGGATTGTTGTGCAATGTCACTGGCCTTATGACTGTTATTTAAGACTGTTCTCCTCCTAACTCCCTCTCCTCTTTTAGGATATTGTTTGTTTGTCGCTGCGTTGAAGATCTCACCTCTTCTTTAGTATCTCTGGGCATACTGTGGGATGTACTTTGGATATACTGACCTTTGAACCAAAGCGAATTCAATGATTTCCTTCTGTTCAGGATAATAACCCCAAATCTCCAGCACTTTTACAATGAATTTCTTCAGATTCCCAGTCCAGTTGCAGCTGCTGATCAGTACTGTTCTTGGGCCCTGCTTGGGCCTGGAGTTTACAGGGTCGCAAGGCCAGTGGGCACGCTATCTCCGCTGGGACGCCAGCACCAGAAGTGACCTCAGCTTCCAGTTCAAAACAGACGTGTCCACCGCCTTAATCCTGTACTTTGACGATGGTGGCTTCTGCGACTTCCTGCAACTCATGGTGGTCGAAGGGAAGCTCCAGTTGCAGTTCGGCATCGACTGCGCCGAGAGCACAGTAGTATCGGACAAGCGAGTCAATGACAGCAGCTGGCATTCTGCCACCCTGAGCAGGTACAACCTGAGAACTGTGCTGGTTCTGGACGGACTGAGCAAATCGGGCGAGGTGCGGCCACAGAGGCAGTACATGAAGATCGTTAGTGACCTCTTCCTGGGCGGAGTCCCTCAAGATATTCGTATTTCTGTGCTCACTCTCCCGACAGTGAAGGATCTTCCGCCGTTTAAGGGAATTATCAGGGAACTGAAGTACAATAACAAAGAACCTATTCTGCTAAGCAGCCAGAGGGTCCGCATGGACATAGAGGGGATCTGCATGGAGAACCCATGCGAGAATGGAGGAACGTGCTCCGTTGTGGACGGGGAACCGCTTTGTGATTGTTCTAAGACGGAATACGTTGGCCGATTCTGCAACGAAGGTAAAACGGTTTATATTTTACAGCTTGATAAGAGCAAATGCAATATTGACTTTGTACTGTATATGCAATGTAAAATCTTTTCTCAAACGTTTATTGGCACCCATCTAATTATACTCGAAATAGTCAGTCTTAACTGCTGAAATGTGAATAATGTTTCCCAGAATCCTTCATGCTACTGAAGTTTGACTCTAAGGTTCAGGTTAATGGCGTCTCTTAGCTTGTCTACAGAGGTTGATCTGTTTTCTACATTGGCAGGCGTTTTTGTGCTGGGAATGTCTCGATAAGCTTCATAAGACCCTCCTATATTCCCCCATCGCTTCTTAAGGTCAATTGAAAGTGAATGTCATTGAAATGCACTACTAGCAAAACCTGCGTTTTTACCTCTGTAAAGCACTAAGCTGTTTGTCTCTGGCAAGCGTTTGTGTGTGTGTGTGTTAGCGTGCCCGGCTGAGGAGGTGGGTGTTAGGATGTTAAAGTGCATTTTTAGATCCCTTGGTTGTTTTTCTGAAGTGGCCATTTTAGTTTCTCTGGGGATTTGAGGAGGCCATTTCACAGCTCTGGGTTTTGTTGTTGCACCTCTTCAACAGAGAATGAATCAGAGACTGGGGATAATTGCCTATTTTAAACATGTCAATTGCAATTCTTTATAGCGTCATTACTGGTTTTCCTAGATAGAAAATTTTATGACCTTGGTTATCGAATGTGCTCATTTATACACTGATCTTCTGGTTTGCGCACATTTATTTTGTAAATATAATCATCATAACTAAACTAATTTTGTTATACCACAGAACGCAACTTTTGAGTTCTTCCCCATGAAACATGTTTTAGATCCTGGTAGATGATCCTGATGGTAATGAAAGGTACACCATGATTTCTTTTTTGAATATTTCTGTATCTTTTGATAATTTTTGCTTTAAAGATATCCTCTTTAATGCTTTCAATTCTAGCAAAAACAATATGGGCTATCTTTACCTGAGAAATAATGAATTTTAATTAGCTAGGAAACAATTACAGAAACTAATGTGTATATTTCCTGTCTTGATTAGGCCTAAACTTTTTTCCCCTTGTGACTGGAGTGTTTAAGCTGGGTGATTGATCGGTGATCAGTGCTCTGAGCCCTATGAGTTGTTACTCTCATTGTAGACACAACCACTCCTGCGATGCTCTCCTTAATTACACAATTACTGAATGTGATTAAAATGTTAAAGCCAGGATGCTATCTGCGTACTTGGGTATTTAATATAGAAGTGAATGTGTATGCATGTACGGCCTGTTTCAGAGCGCAAGAAAGAGAAAATGAGAGAAAGAGGGATGTGTAGAAGACCGGGCACTAGGGTTAAATTTATTGGTTGTAAAGAGAACAGAGTTTTGGGCTTGATTTACAGCCGTTGTTCCTCTCCATCTTGTTTGGCTGACTGGGTCCTGCAGTCCACTGATAGGGGCTAAAGCCAGACGTAAAAGCAGCTTTGATGGCTTTGAATGCTGGGAATCAGTTCAGCCGATCATAAAAGAATAAATAAACCATTTTTGGAGGCCATTATACTATACTGGTGCACAGGGGTAGCCTTAACTTAAAGGCTCTGTAAGACTACAGCTGAACTTCCTCTCCTGGCATCTCTAATCAAAACCAGTATTGTGAAATGACACATTAAAGGCTGAAATCAGTGTTTGATAACAACATTACGAAAATCCACTGAGCAATCTTAATTCCATCTTAACCTTGTGTCTTCAGGCTTTTGAAACATCTGTACGTGGGTAATAAATATCGGGTCGGAGCCATATGGCAAGCTGGTCCGAAGTGTTAAGCATTAGCCTTACGTACGTTTGACTGAATCCAATTGCCATAGCAGCGGCAGCAACAATCTGACACTCCTCTCGATATCCAGATGGCTAAAATGGCCTCGGAACTGTTTTGCGTTGCCGTGGCGTATGTTCCTCGCTCTGTGAAAATTGTGATAGCCGCTGCATCATTTGCGAAAGCGCGTAATCTTTTGGCGGATTAGAATAATAAACATTTGGCAGCCAAACAAACACTCAGTCTGTCTTCCCATGCGGATGGTCTCTGAATTGGTACGCTGAGGTTTATGTTTAAGCTGGCCACTCTTTACAAATCTCCTCATGTGTTATTTAATGTAAACAAAGCTAATTCAAAAGTGCATTATGAGGATATGTAGATCTTAGAGTTGTTTTTTTTAAGGATAAGACTCTCTAAACATTTTCTAGCTATGGTTTGCTTTTTTTGTATATAAGAGAACTGTTCTAAGTAATTGAACTTAACATTTTCACTTTTTGAACAAAAGTGTTCAGAAAATGCAAAAATTTAGTATTATGGTTAATTTAATATTTATTTTAGAAAATTATGCATAAAATGTTGAGAAACAGATTTTATTCAGATGACTCTTTATTGCAGAGATCATTACAATTTGGTGTGAATCCAGATTAAACTAGTAAACTTTTTGCTTTTGAGAAAACAAGGAAAAGATCTACTGATGTGCTACAACTAAACATACATTTTTGTTTCACCGCTGTTTCTGAGAAACTAGGTCATCATAGAAGGCTGACAGTGCATGTAGACATTCATATTCCAACCAGAACTTCAGTACAGGCCATCTCAAGAGCTGAACACATCAATCAAGTCACCATGGCTCTCACATCCTGAGTGTAACTCAGCATTCCCCGCTCTCCAATCACATCCTAATACTTTCCCCACCAGGTTAATGCATCTCATCAGAGGACTTAATGTCCTGTACCAGCCTTTAACAAGCACGGCAGACAGACACACACTTACACATTGGAACGTGTCCTGAAAATGAGTGACCGTGAGAGACAACATATTGCATTTTCAGCCAGTACAGACATCAACACATACAGGACTAAATTAATGTCTAATGTAGCTATAATTACTCTGCACTAAAAGCATTTCATGGAGGCAGACCCCATCAGGTTTTCCTTAATTTCCTGTATTAGCTGCAGTTTGTGTGCACTGGCAACAGATAAATTGGTTTTTCAGCCTGTCAGGCTCTGATACTAAAAAATCTACAGTAAAATCTTACATTCTTTAGAGTCATATGAAATAATTCATTGGAATAATCTGGATAATCTCAAAGTTGGCTAAATATTAATTAATAAAAATATTTTAAAAAGTATACCTAATAATAATTATAATGTCTATGTATATTTAAAAATATTTGGTTTATGTCATGTAATATATAATGCACATTTACAATTTATAAAAACAATATTGGTAATTAGGAAATACATTTACTTCTAAAGTGTTATTAATCTAAAGCTGTGTACACTATATATACAAAAAATAGATTTCTGTTTTAATAGTCAAATAAAAATTTTTTTTATTTTTTTTACATTTATTTTAAGATAATTTTCTGTTAACAGCTGAAGTTGAACACCATAATATCATCACTGCTAAAAATATCAAAGCTTAAGAATCACTGACCTCACTAATCGAGTAGTTTAGTGGTTCGGTATGTGCTATGTTTAGGCAAAAACTATACTGTCAAATAAAAATAAAGAAAATAAGAATAATCTATCTAACTTCAAGCAACAGCACAAATAAATACAATAGAGTAAAGATACAAATAAAATAAACAGTGATTTTCATATTTTTTTTATGTAGGTCTAACAAGTTTTCAGGTAGAAATTGAATAAAGTAATGAAGTGTTAAACAGCATTGCATATTTGACTATAAATTAAAGATGAATCTTTATTAAAGTTACAAAAGCTATTCAATCAAGAGCAGTGAGTGATTTCTTTGTTGCTGTTTGATTAATATTAAGAAAGTGCTGTCACTTTAAGAGAATGTTTTGTTTTTTTCCGTTTAAATTTTTCTGGACTCCTTTTTAATGGTTAAATTAAATTGTATTAATCAAAAAACATTTCTAATTAATTAAAATCATGAAACGTAAACAATTTAACATTTAATTTATCAAAAGTTTTACAAAAATTACATGTTTAGGGCCCTATGAAATGTAAATTTTTTCCAACCTTATGTTTTATTTAGGGATGCACCGATATGAAAATTTTGGCCGATACCGATATGGTGGCCGATATATCGTGCATCCCTAGTTTTATTGTTACCAAATTCTGTGTTTTAACATGACTAATTATTTTAAACAAATTTTAACAGCTTAACAGCTGAAGTTGAACACAATAATATCACCACTGGTAAAAATATCAAAGCTTAAGAATCACTGACCTCACTAATCGAGTAGTTGGATGTTCGGATGATCGTAAATCATCCCTATCCGGAACAGATTAGAGAAATCGTAGATTAGCTGTTTTTCATCACACAGAGCATTGCAATGCCCGTTTATCAATGTTGGATGCCCTTTGGTTTGGGAGACGACCAGAGTGCATTAATGAAATGAGTCAGCCCAGTGCTTCAGTGCCAAAGGCGGCCTGTGACGCAGAGAGAGAGAGAGCGAGTGTGTGTCTACAATGAGAGTAAACGCTACCAGGCTCTGAGTATGGAACAGTGCTTTAGACAAACATCAGCGTCCCATAAATCCACAACCCTCTCTAAAGGGAGCAGGTTCTGTTGCCTGTTTGGATTTATGACCCAGGCGTGGATGTGGGCTTTGGGAGTGTGTGTAAGACATGGAAGATGAACTAGACCTCTTAGATGTTGGTGTGTCATGTTGTTTCATACACCACAGATCTGATCCCCCCCCCCCCCCCCCCCCCCCCCTCCTCATATCCTAGGGAGAAGAGGGGGTGGATGGATGGATGCAAGGGGCATTTTAAGGGTTTCTATGTACATGCACAGGGCAGATGTCTGCTCAGTGCATGCTGGCAGGTGTGTCAGAGTTTGCATGATAGTTTTCATGCAAAGATAATGTGAGTGGGCTCTAATGGCTGCAATGTTTCTCTCCTCTTTTTTTTCTTTTTTCCATTGTGTCTTCTTTTCTGCAACACCATCAGAGGCCAACAGCATCCCAGGTGAGTTGATAATGTCCTTAAGGCTGAATTGAAGCTGTCTTTTATAGGCGGTGAAAGCATTAATGATGTAGAGTGCATATGTTATTCAAATATACAGTAATATAAACGTATATTTTCAAACATGCTATTGCTCTCTTTACCATAATGAAAAATACTTAATTGCCATGAAACCGAAGTTGAGAAAATTAAATATGCATGATTGAACTGTTCACAATAAGATCTATAATATGCATTTGGAAAAATTAGTTTAATCACTAAATTAATCATTAAAATCAATATACTTTGCCACATTTATATTAAACGACATACAATGCACAACACTGTAAAAATTCTTTTTAAAAGTTGTATTTTTTGCAAGGAAATACCATTTCAGTCTTTCTACATCAAAATTTCACATTTAGTTAAATGTGTTACTTTTCTTTATATTTCTTTGTAATTACTTGTCTAATTTAGTAGTTTCTGTTTGTAAATAATTTCTCAACCCTCTACATTGTGAGTAAATCACTCGCATATGCGACTAAATCTTCACTCTGGGCGACTAAATGATGTCTAATATTAGCCAATGGCTAATAAATTCTCCGATTTTACTCGCCAGTGTGGGAGTTGAAGGCTAAGTATAAGTTTAGCACAGATATATTTTCACTTGCCGAACACTCTGACTGAGCACTTCAGAGTTTCACTCTCCGTCAAGCGATCTGTGCTATTTTTCAGTTCATCTCAATGGATGCGCAGCTCACCTGTATTTGACGTACCGTAAACTTTAGTGTGAAGGCGCACGACTCGCCGTCGCTTTGTCTCACACACACGCAGAGAGATAGAGAGAATTGAAGTGCTACATGTAAACGATATTCTTTGTTGTATTTTCCTGTCAAAATAACAGCGTTCCTTTGGAATTCTTTCGCTTTTAAGAACTGCCGGGTTCTCCGGTAGTAGGCGGAACTAATGCGCAAACGGCAATCTCATTATCGTCCCTGTTTTGATTTCAGCAAATCAGTTCAAGCGAACGCGGCAACGCGCACAACCTGATTACAGTTCATGAATCCAGCAGCTCATTAATCCTTAGTGCGTTTTATATTGTTCTTATTAGTAGAATTCGTATCATTATTGTCTTATCAGTATTTTTGTTAGTTTTTTCCCAATTTTTTTTTTACAGAAACACTGAATGACCAAAAAAGCACCACCACCAGTCCGGCATATGCATTCATACATGGTTATCAAGTTTTAATTCTAATTACTAAAGTTCTATCATTAAATAATACTCGATTATCATATTATAATGCTTGACTGACTGATGTTTAGAGAGATACTTAAAAAAACTGCCATTTTACAAACATTTATTATATAGTCTGGCGAGTAAACAAAACAATTTACTAACCAATGGCGATTCAATTGCCAAGGTGTCCGTAGAGGGTTGTTTCTACACCAACTTTTGACTATAGATGACTATTCATAATGTATTTACATTTTTGTCACTTTACAATAAAAAAATTTAGCTGTCACATTAGATAAAACATCTAAATAAATAAAAATAAACAAGTTAAACCAATAATTTCCATGAAAATGCAAAAACAGAGACTTTTGTAATTACCACTTTGTGTCAGATTATTAAAACTTTAGATTACACTTTATTGTAAGGTGTTCTTGTTACAGTGTAATTTTGACCCTTGACCACAAAACCAGTCATAAGGGTCATTTTTTTAAAATTGAGATTTATACATCATGACATAATCTGAAAGCGGAATAAATAAGCTTTCCATTGATGTATGGTTTGTTATGATGACGATATTTAGCCGAGATACAACTATTTGAAAATCTGGAATCTTGAGGGTGCAAAAAAATCTAAATATTGAGAAAATCGCATTTAAAGTTGTCCAAATTAAGTTCTTAGCAATGCATATTACTAATCAAAAATTAAGTTTTTATATATTTACAGTAGGAAATTGACAAAATATCTTCATGGAACATGATCTTTACTTAATATCCTATTGATTTTTGGCATAAAAGAAAAATCTATAATTTTGACCCATACAATGTTTTTTTGGCTATTGCTAAAAATATACCCCAGCGACTTAAGACTGGTTTTGTGGTCCAGGGTCACAATTATACATTTAAGTACTGAGTAATATTAATTAACTACATGTATAGTTAGGGTTAGGATTTGGGTTACTTGCATGTAATTATGCATAATTAATTGTTATTATAATAGTAAATACATATAACCTGTGTAACAATGACACCTTAAAATATAAGTGTTAAAAATAAATAAGATGTTCATAACCCTTTTCTTTCTGCAAAGATTTAATGTCATCGTATGGTCTGATACATACCTACAAGATATTCTTTTCTTTGTGTCACTTTCTCTGTTTCTCAAAGGATTTGCACACATGATGATGGCGGATCAAGGTATGCCACACTCCTTCACTGGTATTCACTCTGTTGAGATTGATTATGCATGCTTGAATTGACTGAATTGCTGTGAACCTTGAATGCATAGATGCGAACTGTGCTTTGACCGTTTCTTCATATCTCTCCATGCTTACCTTCTGTGGATACTCTTTATCTCTCTGGTCCTTTTTCATCTCCTTTCTCAAGCCAAGGGCAAAGGTACAGAACCGTTTTCTTCCTCAAGTTGTGCTCTCTTGTGTTTACATCCTTGTTTTTAGTACTTATTTTTCTAATAGCTGTTAACCATGGGTGACTGGATCAAGAGTATAATTAAATGAGAGTTAATTGAAGACAAACACACAAAAGGTATTCTAACTGCAGTCTGAATGGTCTGAACTGTGGCGTCTGTCTCCCTGGTAGTCTTATCCCCAGTAGATATTTGTATCAGCTTCTAAAATGCTTAAACGGCACAGTATGACGCAGTCTCATGAGGGTTTATCTAGCTTGAGACCATGAATTACGCTTTATTTGCCATGCAGTGTTTGTTGTGGTTTTGATCTTGCATGTGAAGTTTTGAGAAATGTTGTGTGTTCAGCCAGGTGCCAGAATGACTTTCTCTGTGTTTTATTTTTTATTTTTTTTGAAAGAAGGAGAGAAAGAAAGAACTGTGATATTTCAGTCTGGCAGTACATGTGTGCTGTCATGTCATTTCATAACTGGCTTCTCTAGGGAGGCTTGTAGATGGGCCCGATTTAGCCTTGACTTGCTGCTGGGCAGAGCATCCCTGTGGAACGCTGTTGTACCACATGTCATCTTGCCGTCTCACCCGATCCAATATTTCAGCATGTCTCAGAGTGGCCAAATAACTTCATTCTTCAATAGACAAGGCCTGGAATTGGCTTGATTCTTTGCAGGTCCTCAATGCATCCACAAATGTGCAATCGTACACAGTATAGCTGTTTTATTTAAAAGTTCTCAGGTTTTTAGGGTGATTCTCTCAGCTTGGACACTTTTTTCCCCCACAATAGAAATTTTGGTGCATACCTGAGTACATTAAGCTTCTGAGTAGGATTGTTTTGTTGGCACAGCATATGTGAAAAATTGTATGCTTTGTTTTTTAGGGATTGATCAGTTCGTAATGGTCAATTCTGAAAGTATAATAAATGCAATTCTTTTTTTCAACTTCATTTTTATATATATATATATAGATAGATAGATACAGTACGTTCAGCCAGCTATGTCTGCTATAGGATACTTACCAAGACAGGCATTTTGACACAATTTTTGGGTGAATTTGTCCATTTAAACACTACTTCCAGTGTTTCCCCTAGGTTTATGGCTTGGGGGGGGGGGGGGGGGGGGGTAAAATTTTTTGTTGTGGGGGGGGGGGGGGGGGGGGGGGTACTTAAAACTTTTTTACTGTAGTCGCAATGTTATATGAATCATGAAAGCATATATACCCCCACTTTATTAGTATTTAAATAGTATATGTTTATGTTGAACTTTATTCTTGAACAGATGGCGCTGTATTATGCAGTATATAAAAAGTGTTTCTGTTGCTCATGAAAACGTTTCTGAAACGTCTGTGTATTTGACAAATATTGTATTTAATTCACTTAATCTGTGATAGAGTATGCAAACACCGCGTGAGCGTCACTAACGGGAGCAGAAATGTCCGGCTTGACGGCTCCGTTTTTCAACTCCGCTCTACACCCATCCTCTACTCTCGTTGATCGCCGTCTGTAGCCGTGCTTCAAGTCGAACGCACCTAACGAGTCTGCGCAGTGAACATACCAGTACGCCATGACGCACACCACAATTTCATCAAGATGGCGGAGAAAAAATTTACATCTTGTTTTAACCACGGGCACAAAAGTTATACCACAATTCATGCACAGTCATGTCAACCAGATACTGAGAGAGAGAGACAGTGCATCATCGTGTCATGTGTGCTGGGATGCAGTATTTTGCACTTGTGTGTTGACTGAAATAAGTTTGTATGAATAAAGTTTTTGTTTTTGGAGAATCATAATATCTCTTATCTGTTGTATTTGAGCAGGACAGGGATGCACTTTGGTGACATATAAAACAAATTCCCAACATTGTGTCTTTTGTGTCTTTCCATCATGTTTGATGTGCTTGCAGATCACAAGCATTTCCTAATTTCACTTCAGAATTTTTTGTTATACTTAATCTTTTGTTATATTTTTTATACTGTCATCATTTGTAAAGTGTATATATACTGTATATATATATATTTCCTTTCCTTTATCTTTACCAAATTTACCTGTATTTACTTTGTTTTCATATTTGGCGACATTTTGTGAAAAAATTGAGACTTTTGAGGGAGGTTCTAGAGATTTTCTGAGGGAGGGGTTTGGCAACACTGGGGGAAACACTGACTTCAGAGAAAGCTTAATATTTGCGTGCATTCTGAGGCATGGGTTTGCTTGCTTCAGATGTTTAAATGATTTAAACAGCCATTCAGATTTGTGTATTTGCTATGATGTTCATCACAGTGCCAAATACTTAAATATTTATACTTAATAGGCTATTTATTTTCAAACTTTTTTTACATTTTAATCTGGACTACAACATGCCCTAGATATTGTTTGAAAGTGTTTTGATTCTTTATTGTTCGGTCACACTTTACATTAGGGCTTCATTAGTTAACATTATTTAATTCATTAGTTAACATAAACTGCCAATGAAAAATTATTCAGAACATTCATTAATCTTAGGTAATTACAATATTTAATAACAGGTTGTTAAAATCGAAAGTTGCAACTGTGTTATTTAATGAGCTAACATGAACAAAGACTTGTATTTTTTTAAGCAAAGATTAATAACTTCTGTAGCAAATGTAGCTATTGCTCATTGTGAATGTTAATGCATTAACTAAGGTTAACTAATGAGGTCTTATTGTAAAGTGATACCTATTGGTCTTTATAGTTCTTTTGCACTTTAATCTGTGTACAACTTTTAACTTTATACATTTTTCTGTATTGCTTTATTGCATTTAAATGTTCAGTTATTTTTGTTATAAGAAAAAAGTTATTAAACCTGTTATACTGTATTATGACAGCACTTTTTTTTTAAACTAAATTTCAATATCGTGTTAATACCGTATACCGTGATAAAAGCATTAGCAATTAATCACAACATGAAAATTTGATACCGGCATATCCCTAACCCAAAGTCATTGGACATTAGGACTAAAATAAATCCAGGCATATGCTGCAATTCCACTTGCCAACCTAGTTTCTTTCCTCAACCCTATTTAAGTGCTAAGTCAGAGCCCAGTCAGCGAGAACCTGGCAGACCGACAATACCATATAGCCAGTCAGATGCATTAGCACGTATTTGCCTGCGTTGCATTAAAAGCGTTTGTATTGTAGTGCTGTCTCCAACACTGTCTGTCTCTCCCGCTACCGCCCTGCGTTAAATCACTCTGCTAGACGGAGGGACATTATTACAAATCAGCCTGGCTGTACGCCCAAGTTAAGATGACAAGGGCTTCCATTTAGGAGCCCATTTGCATCTCTGCCATGCTGAGCGATTCTACAAAATGTTTAATTTATCTGCATTTGTTTCTATCGCTGCATCTTTTCCTTTCACCTGTCATCACAGCTCGAGTTTGTACAGCACGTAAATCTCTAATTTTTTAACCTTTCCTTTAGAAATCTCTTGCAGTTAAACCTTAGGAAGGTTCCTAATTGTTGTGCTTTGTAATATTTGACAGTGTTGTGTCTGCAGGATCATAAAGGGATCTAAGTTTTTGGGTAGCCCAGTGCTTCTCGCTCATGTCTGTGTATCTCACGGCTCTCGGACGCCATTCCTCTGCACCTGTCTGAAGTCAATCATATCAGTCCTCTCTGGCACAGGCATATCTCAGCAAACAACAGAAAGTCACAGGACAATGATAAAGAAGGGTCTCTCAGGACTTCCTGTCTCTCATTGTCATTGATTCTGTCCTCTTTCCTTCCATCTGTTAGTTTATCTGGGATGCAACTTTCTTTTAGTTTCCCAGAGAAACCTTTTGGTGCTCAGAGGTTGTGCTTTCATAACTTAGGAGACATAACAGAGTTCACATTTGTTTTTCTTTGAAGTATCAGCTTTGTCTAGGATGGTTTCTAGAAAGTGACACAAATAAGACAATTGTTACAGAACAGGATATAACTGTAAAATGAATATAGATGGCAAGCTTGGATATTTTGGTCTAGAAAGAGTTTGAGAAATATTTGAGGTAGTATTTGATTGCAGACTTTGGTCTTTAGGAATATTTGACCAAACTTTCAGACATTTATTATCTTTTTTGAAACTCTAGAGGAGAATTATGTGAGATATGGTATTCTCATAGTCATACTGTATATGTCTCACCAAAGTAAGTCAAATGATTGTGTATTGCATAGCATAAAATATTGAGAGTATTTAATGAGTTCATATTAAGTTTGTGATATTGTTGAGATCTTGAGGAGACGGATGTGAGATTACTAGGGTCTTTAAATCTGAAAATTAAGAGACATAAGCAGAAGTCTCCATTTTGCACAGAGGTTGCTTTTTTCATAGCTTATTAAACATAATAGATTTCTCATTTATGGCTCATTGACCTATGAGCTTTGTTTCAAACGTTCCTCCTTAAATTGTTTTGGATGAAAATAAATAGATACACTTGTGAAACAGTTGTTGATAAGGATTGAGGATGTAGCTAAATATAAAATTATATACAATTTGAGGATTGCTCTCAGATGATGGTATTGTAATATTTAGTGAGAAATATTTGGGTTCTTATTGAAACAAATTTGAGTATCATTTTGAGTTTATACAGCTCTAACGGAGACAGATGTGAGATTACTACTACACTGTAAAAAATGACCGTGAATTTAACGGTAAAAGACTGTAAAAATGCTACAGTAAAAACCTGTTAAATGGTTAATGGTAAATTCCCCTACTATATATGGTGAAAAACTGTATTGGACATTACATGTATTGGACATAAATTTTACGGTAGTATACCGTTTTTGGAAATGAAATAGGCCGTATAATTTACAGTGAATAACCGTAAATTGACATTCCCAGAATTCCCTGCATTACATTTCAAATTTGTTGTTTTTTTGTTGAAATAACTGTTTCTTCTTAGTTTTTTCTAATCAGTTTTGTATATTAGGGTTGAGTGTTACACCTAATGTTGTTAAATTTGATGTTTATTGCATTATTTC